AATCCTGATGCCACATTCCTCTTCATAGAGTCCACCTTCTCAAAGAATTCTCTCAGCATGCAAACGGAATAGGTATGGAGAGAGAATACATCCCTGACACACTCCATTCTTAATTTTAAAGCATGAAGTGTTCCCCTGCTCTGTTTGCATAATCTCCTGGTCTAGGTATAGGTTTTGCATGAGCACAATTAAGTATTATTGTTTAACTGAAATTAAGCAACAGCAACAAAAAAGGAGATTATTTAGGAAATCATGATGATTTGAGAAAAAGCTAGTATAGAGGGTTCATTTAGGGATAGGGAAATCCTCACTAGGATCCTAAGGCAGACATGAAAAAAAAAAAGACTCATTGAGCTTACCAAGGTGAGCATTCTGCAAAGGGGCCTTCCTCTCACCTACTGAATCTTATTGTCACCCTGGCAACATGTCCTTTCCAAGGAAGGTGAAGAACAAAGGAGCCTTTTTTTTAAAGGCTAAGCTTGGGTAGGGTTAAGGTCTACAATCTCTACAGCAAGGCTACAGTATAGCAGGCAAAGCTGGTAGCTCCTCCTGCTAGCTTCATAGTAGGGCTAGAGAGGGGATGCTTCTGTGTACCCAACACAGTAGGGGCTGATTCAGTGCACCACATCACTCCTCACCCATGTGGACACCACTCCCAACAAGATGCCTTTCTCATAGCCATACTTACGACCCCTGCTAGCGATTTCCCCTTCACCATGTCGACGAACTGGACAGCGATTTCCTCCCCACAGCGGCTCTGGGCCTCCTTGGTACTGGCACCTAGGTGAGGGCAGCTGATGACATTCTCATGGTCCACCAAGGCTCGGTCTCGTGGTGGTTCCTGTCCAGGAAGACACATTATTGGTTGGCTGCAGTGCCTGGACCACACTTCTCTCCCCCAGAAATTGTAGAGAAAGAAGACAAGAGCAGTTGCTCATTCTACTTCTGATTTATTGAGGTGGATATTCATTTTATACCCAGATTGCTCACAGATGCTCAACCTGAGCAAAGAAGATAGCAAAAACTGTGAACCAGAGTCAAATCCCAGCCTTACCACCTACCATCTATGTGTCTCTGGGCAAATCTCAATCTCTTTGAGCCTCAGTTTCCCTTTCCACTAAATGAAGTTAATACCCTCCACTTCATAACATCATTGTGGGGATTACACCCTTGGAGCGCCCGGGTGGTACAAGTGATCCATTCACTCAGCTGTTAATTCTAACTGAAAGATTAGAGGTGTGAGTTCACTCAGAGCTAAGTAGGAAGAAAGGCCTGGCTGTCTAATTCCAAAAAAAATCAGCTTGTGAAGAGCCCAAGGAGCCTGGCTCTACTCTGACACACCCATGTGTTGCCATAAAACGGTCAACTTGCCAACGTCTAGTTTTATGCACCTGTTAGAAAAGTCTTCAGTGGATAGTAGCAGGGTTGTTGCTTTCCTCCTAAGACTCCCCAGCACTGCATCTTTGCAGCAATTACTGTCACTGTGCCTCACAGGTTCTCATCACTGCGTCATGCTCTTCACAGGCACTCAACACGGTGTATCTGTACCCTAGTTCTCACCAGGGCAGGCCACTTACCTGAGACACCTTCACCCCACCTCCAGAGTCCCTTCCACCCCTTTTGCACACTGACAAGAATGTACTACCCTTGGGAGTGTCATGTAGGCCTCTCTTTTTTGCCCTCTTTCCAGTGCTTTGTTTGCTCCTTCTGAATTTTAGCCACATATCCCTGAGTCCAGGTCATGTAATAGGTACTGTGAGGATGCCCAGGATAACAGGTTTGGGGCAAAAATGCAGTGTTCGAAAGGATGCTCATACAGAGACAGGCAAGCCACTCTTTCCAGGAGTACCTCATGCAGCCGAGCGAGATGATCCTGAGTCTAAGTCACAATGCACCACAGGAGCTCAGGGAGCGCCAGTGGCTTGCTCATGCCACACAGCTAATAGGTACTGGAAGACACACCCCCTAACCACCTGATCCAGAATCCATGTCTCTTCTTCTGTCCTGGGAGGAGGGATGCTCTGACACATGCTGACAAAGTGCTTAGGGGAAAAGTATCAATGCATTTGTCCCCCTAATCCACATTTCACCAGGTGTGAGGACAAGGCACGAAGGGAGATAAGACCTAGAGCCTCGCCTTTGTTCCCACAGGAAGTCCTAGCGAGAGCAGCCCACTCTGGAGACTGGGAGCTCTTCTAACCATTCTCCTCAGGCTTCCTTCCTGCCCTGGATGAGGGGAGAGGAACAAGAAAGCCAGTGGGGCCCTAAGGAGAGACTTCTCCCAGTGATGATACTGCACTTACATCAGAGGTCTGGTCAGTGTATTAAATTGCTCTCCCGCTGGCTAAATCCTTGTCCTCATAGATCAATAGGCTGGCAACTGTTCAGCACTGATTCACAACCCCTATCTTCCCCTAAGGATACCAAAATGGCAACAGACTGAGCAGCCCTATATCAAAGACCAGTTCCTGTTTAAAACTTGCTTCTCACAAAAATCAGCACATGAAAGCCCCTCAGAACAGAGTATTCTTGCAAACGATCTCCATTTACCCTGGACACTAGGAACTGTAAGCCAAAGTCTTCCACTACCGTACTGGGCTTACGTTGCCATGAGGCCTCGAGCCCCCATCTCTCCCTCCTCCTCCACCACAAACTGCTGGGTACTCACCTCAGTAAACACGTCCAGTGCAGCCCCAGCACACTGACCAGACTGCAGGGCTCGGAGCAGGGCGCCTTCGTCCACGATGCCTCCCCGAGCGCAGTTCACCACACGCACCCCCTTCTTGCACTGGGCAAATGTGCTGTCATTCAGCAATCCTGGAATAAAGAGCAGCGTTTCCTGCTGGGATGGTGCCTGGGCTTTGTGCTCTTACATCACTTTTAGAGACTCTCCCATCCCTCTCTGTCCCTTCTCTCTCCTTTCAAATGCTCTGGGACAGGAGCTCCTTTTTTTTGTACCTGGGATAGACTCCAAGCCAACGTCCATCCCAGAAGTCTCTGAGATGCTCCTGTCTCAAAAGGATCCTAGAGTCAGGAAACCCTGCCCCCAGCAGTCTTCATAGTACAGGCTGTGCCAAACTTGCCCAGGGGCCTTATGCATTTCCACCTGCTCTCCATTCCTCCCTGATGTGGGCCATCTACTAGAGCATCACCATGCCTCGGGAGACTGGTGGTCCTCCCCACGGCTGCTCACCAGCATCCTCTGAGGGCACATCCTGCTCTGGGCTACGGCTTACGCGACACCCACAAGGCAGGAACCCACGCACCTGTTGTTGAGGGCAGGAGTGGTGTGTGCACTGTGATGAAGTCACAGAGAGGCCAGATCTCTTCCAGTGGCAGCTGCTGAACTCCGAAGGAGGAAGATACCTCTGCAGAGATGATGGGGTCGTACCCTATAGTCTGGTCAGAAGCCAGAGAAAAGAGTGTTATTATTATTATTCATCAGAGTTACTATTTTACTGAGCACTTAACATATGTTAAGCCTCTGTAAACACTAATTTACTTCCATGACAATCCGGTGAGGCTGATATTGTTCTTTTTTTAAAAAAGAAAAAATTATTCATTCACTGTTGCACAATTTCTTTCCTGCCTCTCCCTACCCTCTCCCCTAGTCCACTTTGCAATGCACTTTTTTTTTAATTTAAAATATTTTTATTACACTTTTTAGAACATACATACCCACAGATTTTTACATCAATATTTCAGTGTGATGAAAAGATTTGTGGCTTTGCTATGGAGTGTTAGTCCCTTTAGCTTATCCCTTTAGCTTGAATACCTGGCTTTCTCATCACCAATTTTCACATGTTTTCCCCTCCTTTGTTTCTTAATGTCTGTGCAGTTCTTCTGGGGCTCACTGGGAAGTTTTAGTCTACTTCCTGTATGTTTCATGATTTGTGATCTCAATCTTTCATAATCTTTTCTATATCTTTGGCACTCTGAAATTTTAAGTGTGCAACTTATTATGCTTTTTGCTTATTTTACTTTTGTGTTTTTGGTTTTTTTATTATTATGTTAGGAATACAGTGAACCCTTTCATTCTGAAAATATATATTCTTTTTTGTTATGTATGGTTGAGTCAGAAATGACTCATAGTTGACCCTCCAGTGAGTTTTCAGAGGTGATAAATCACACAGGAGAAGATTGCCTATCAGTCTCGTGTGGAGGAGCTAGTGAATTAAAATTAAATGCCATTGGGTTATCAGTTCTGGCCTAACTCTCCCCATTGAGGGTGTTTTTGGGTTTTTTGTTTTCATCATTTCTCTCTTTCTTCCTCCCTCCACCTCATTTCCCTTTCTGAATTCACATATGCTGATGTTGGATATCCTGGATTTGTAAAATATTTTTCACTTTAACTAGTATGCATCAGAGAGCTGGGTAATGACTAAGGATAACAGAAGAAGAATTGATGCCTTCAAGTTGTGGTGCTGGAAAAATTTTGAACATACCATGGACTTCCAAGAAAACAAATAGATCTGTCTTGGAGAGGGTAAAGCCGAGTTTCTCCTTGGAGGCAAGGATTTTGAAGCTCCATCTTACATACTTTGGGCTTGTGGCCAGGAGGGCCCAATCCTTGGAGAAGGACATCATGCTCAGACAAGTGAAAGGGCAGCGCAAGAGAAGACTACAGATGAGATGGATTGATACAGTTACTAGGGCAATGGCGGTAGGTGTGTCGGAATCAGTGAGACTGGCTCAGGACAGGGCCAGCTTCAGAGAGATTGTAAATAGGGTTGCTATATGTATGAGTTGCAGGTGACTCAATTACACATAACAAAAACAACAATTTTCTTTCTGATTTTTCTCTTAGGAGATCATAACTTTATCCTTCAGTCCTTCCACTAAATCCCAATGTTTTCTTATTCTTTCTAACACTCAAATTATATTTCATTATCATTTCAACAACTTTTCATTTCTCTGAGTTAATAAATTTTTTAAGTTTTTAATTATCTCAGTATTATCCATGCATTTTACAATTTCCCTTTTCTTTTTTGATTTGGTATTTACATTTTACATGGATCGAATAACCATTGATCTTTGGTTCTAGTGAAGAACAGTCAGTACTGAGTTAATTCAAATGAGTAATGTGGCAATCTATAAGACTTAAGGCCTCCATGCATTCAAAACTTTGTCCTTAGAACCCTTCAATATTGCAACTTGAAGATGGAATTTATTCTTCAGTTCCTTCAGCTCAAGAAATGCTGAGTGCTTTCTTTCCTTAGGACTTTCTGACTCCAACTTTTTGCACAGTTACAACACTTTGCTTTGTTTTCATGAGCTTCCCAGAACTCCTTCATCTTTGTTGAATTCTTACTAGGTAATTTCTTTAAATAGTCTAAATTTGATTATAACTATACTTGTTGTTGTTGCTATGTACCATTGAGTCAACTGTGACTCATAGAGACCCTATGCACAATAACTCTGAACTCTGCTCAAGGATCACAGAATTACCACATTTAAGGAAGTCTATATCAGAAAACTAATTTGTCTCAGATGTCAAAAACAAGGTAGGGAAGATCAAGTGCAAACCACATCTTTGTGACACTTCAAGCATGCTCTTACGTTGTTCCACAGCAAGGGAACCAGATCACATAAAAGGCGGCCAGAACTAGGTTTTTATCTAACGTCCAGGATAACCCATTGTCTGAATTTCCTCCAGAGATTTCTGTACTGATCTGTGTTGGTTCCATTCTGTAAGTCCTGATCCTTTGATACTCGGTGTGTGGCCTCTTGATCAGCAGCATCACGTGGAAACAAAGTCACTGGCTTTCGGATTCCTGAATCAGTGTCCACTTTTAAGTAGATAAGAGTACAATACAACTTGACAGAATGCTTGGGATATGTCAATAGATGGGAAAAGGGTACATCACTCTCATTGAACCCCATTTTGCAGGGGATTCTCCTCCTTTTTCCTCGGTCATTGTCAGTTCTCCCTCTTTAGTAGACCTGTCACCAGCATGTCCCATTTCCTTACTCTTCCTTACCTACCTCTCTCAGTAACTCTCTGAGATATATGTGCATGGCTGACCTTTACCAAGTCCTTTGCTGAGTGTTCTCTGGACTGTACTTCTTTCCAGTCACCCAGGCTCATTCATACTCCTGTTGCATATGGTATTTCTATGAAATTTGTTAGGTGTCATAAGTAATTTTGGCATCTCTTTTAGTTTCCCACTTACTATTATTATATGGAAGCTTTCATCTCTTCAAACTCAGCAGTCAACTTAACCCAATGAATATATCTCCTAAAGCAAGAAGCAGGGGGTTCTAGTGGCTTAATTTGTAAGGAGCTGTGCTGCTAATCCAAAGCTGGCACCTCTCTGGTGGTTTGAACCCACATTGGCTTCACTGGAGATGAGTGATCTCCTCCTGTGTAATTTACATTTTGCAGAAATCTTCTGGAGGGTCAGCTATGAGTCAATTATTAGCAGTGAGTTTGATTGAAATAAACAAGAAATAGCCTCAGGTTCTCCATTGTAAGGAATTTTTTATATTAGTCATTTATAAATCATAATAGTGTTGACAATAAAAAGGTACATAGTTCCAATCCACCAGCTTCTCTGCAGGGGAAAGTAAGGCAATCTATTCCTGTATGACTTACTACCATTGAAAAACTGGAGAGTCTGCTTTGAGTCACTTCTGACTTAATAGTACACAACAGCAATAATTTATATATTACAGGCAAACTCAGTATCTCTGAATTCTCACTTTTTCCTACTAGCTCTGAGTCTTTGTGTTGTTGTTGTGGACTGTTGAGTCGGAACTGACACATAGCTGCCGAACAGAATTGACCCTCAGACTGTAGAATATGGTAATGTACCTTCAATGTTTTTGGACGATTTGTTGCTTGAGATATTTGGCTATTTATGCAACTTTTTCATTGGACTGTGAGACGGGTCATGCCTTATTAATTCTTGACTACTAGATGACTGTCATCTGAATGAATGATTCCAGACAAATCACTTCCTGCATTCCTGGACAACAGTGAGGTTGAGGATGGTGGAGATCATGAGGATGATGATGGGTAAGACAAAGTTTTGTACCTGTTCTTTGGGTTGCTAGGAGTTGCTCTCAATTCAAAGGCACCTAGCATTAAAAACAACATCCCTGTAGGTGCATTTGCTCTGTGCTAATAAGCTTTATAAGCCAGAGCTACTAATGGCCGCATAGTCTCTTCATCTTTGTTTAGGGAAGGTTGGCACATTGACTGTGTTTTATGAGCCCAGTCTCCTTTATATTAGAGATAATTCCATTTGAGGAATAAGAGGCTCTAGATTTAGTAATAATCTCATTTGAGTCTATTTCCTGATATATATTCAAAATAATCCTTTGAATTATAAGTCTAAACATTTTTCTAATGTTTTAAACCTTTCACATTATTTATTCTTTATGAAGTATTAAAAAGATACTATTGGCTGGATCAAAGAGGAAAAATAAAATGAACACAGTCTTTAAGGATAGAAGAAATACCATCTTGATTATTAAAGAAGCAGTTTTTAGTGTTTATTCACAATCTCTAGTCCACCTCTGGGGAGTTCTGATAGCTTAATGGTAAGACATGTGGTTCAAGTCCACAAGAAGCTTCACAGAAGAAAGATAGGCAGTCTCCTCTTGTGTGGTTTGCTGTCTCTGAAAACCCACTGAAAGTTCAGCTATGTGTCGGTCCCAACTTGATGGTACATAACAATAACAGCCCATCTTTAATAATAGTATTTTATTGGTGGGATTAAAATTCAACTCATTAATATTTTCCTGTGTTGTACAACTGTCCCTAAGCCCAATTTCAGAGTCTTATACAAGATGGTGATTGAAAAATCCTGTGGCCAAATTGATGGGATCCACAGGACAAAGCATACAATTTATGAGGCTTTGGAATCTGTGGGGGAAAGGGATCAGATGTTGTGCAACGCCTTTACGTTTTGCTTTTATGCTCTTTTCCAAAGCTTGTTTTAGGAAATTACATCTTGGTAATTCAGTCCAAAGTACAAAAGCATACAAAAAATAATTTCTTCTTGAAACTGTATAATAAAACCTGGCACCGTTTGCATCAAAGAAAAACACTAGAAGCAGAAATATAGAGAAAGGGTTGGATTTGGGAAGAAATTATGTTAGGGGCTGCTGAGTTGATTATGACTCATAGCGACCCTATGGACAAAGATCAAAACCTTGCTCTTTCCTGCAAGACCCTCATGGTCTCCTTCATGTTCCAGTCCATTGTTTTAATCATTGTGTCAGTCCATCTCATTGAGAGGCTTTTCTTTTGTTGACACTCTATCTTGCCCAGCTTGATGTCTCCTTTCAAAGACTGACATCTTCTGACAACTTGCCCAGAGAGACTGGGGGTGGGTGGGTGCGGAGAATCCTGTGTTTGAGGCCTTTTTAGAGAATTTTATACCTTGGACTTGGCCTTTAAATAAAATTTCAAGCTCTCAAATTCTATGAGGTTAGGACACACATCAATATATCATTCTGATCTTTTGCAGGACCTTTTCTGTCCTATAGTGTCATTCCCTCTCTCTCTCCTTCTCTTTAATCTCACTCTTGACCTCATAATCTTCTTCAATGCTAGAAACCCTCATTTAGAATTTAGCAGCACTTAGCATCTAAATAAGGGAATCAGTTTTAAACTTTTTTGCAGAACATATCCAGATTTCTTTCTGAGCTAAATTTTCACATTTCCAAATGGGAACATAACTCCTGTGAGGAAAACTCTTGACACTTTTGCCTCTGGTGAAATTATGAAATTTTATGAATTTGCCACAGGCAAAGTTTGCAGTTTCTGCAGAACCTAAACATCTCTATTTTTGTGCAGTGAAAAACCAATGTTCATGATTCTTTTCTAATAGAAAAATCCTCACACATATTTTTTTTTTCATTAAGGTTTGCAAAATTCTCTTAAATAGGAAAACTTTTGGAGGACTTCTTTCAAATCTTCTTTACCCTTTCTTTCTGATGTGTAAGACAATGAGCTGAGTGGGCCTGTTCTATATTTGCTGAGCACCTACTCTGTGCAAGACCATTGTCTCACTCAATATTATTTTTAAACCCCTTATGTCAGCAACCTGTTGTTTGGTGAATGATCCATGTGTTTTTCTAGCTTCTTTTTGCAGCCAAGTAGCTAACAGTCTGTTTCTTAGAATCATGAAAAATATATTGTAATAACCTAACAAATTTACATTTCAGCTAAAGTGTGGTCAGACATCTGGAATGCTTGCTTTGTAACTTTGGTCTTTTTGCAAGACTTGGGCATCCTAGGACACCTAGGAAGAGGTGAATCTGTGACCTATATCTTCAGCCACTACACACTACAGTATGCTGTTTAAAAATCTCTTTCTCAAGCCACACCATCACAAAGGCCAAAACACTTATTTAGCATAATCTTTGAGGTATTTATTTTGCTTTACAGTTTAACAATATTACTTAGTCTTTTTAATTCCACCAATTATTTCTCTACTTAATCTCTTATTCTACTTATTCATTGTAAATGTGGTAATTCAATGAGATACATAATGATGATACACAATGTGTCTCACTAGACGAAATGCACAGATCTTGAATGAACTGCATCTGTGTAAAGGGATAATGGAGAAGCTCAGTATTACCAATCAGAACAAGCCCAAGGACGGACTGCTGGAAGTCAGCTGCCAGATTCAAGTTCAAGTTAGAGACAAATTGGAAAAAAAATTGTCATTAAAGTCAAGTTGTCACCTTGAGCCTATCTGAGCATAAAGACCATCTCAAAAATGTATCTAATACACTGAATATTAATTACCAAAGTCCAAATGAGTTATGGGATGAAAGCAATGACTCAGATATACTGAAAGTAAAACGTCATTTAAATGACAGAGACGAAAGGAAATATCAAAATGGATTCAAAAGCAGACTCCAAAACTTGTTTTAGAATGTAGAGAAGCTGAAATTAATGGAAGATGTTATAAAATAGCATGACAGCTAACCACAATTTCAAAAGAAGCCTTAAGAAGAACAAAGTATTGTTAGACAAAGATACAAAATAAAAAAGGAAAAGCATACTTGGTATTTCTGAAGCTGAAAGAACGGAAGAAAACGCCAAACCTTGATTTGCAGTACTGAAAGGTTCTATGGGCAAAATATTGACTAATGCAGAAAGCATCAAAAAAAGATGTAAGGAATACACAGAGTTGCAAGCATAAAGAATTGCTTGAAGTTCAACTACTACAAGAGGTAACATTTCTGAAGAAAGAAGTACAAAACTCACTGACGATGTTAGCAAAATCCAAAGTCTCAAAAATTGTCAAAATATCAATTGAACTATTTCAACATGCATACAGTGCTTGAGGTCTTCACTAATCTATGGCAAAACATTTGGAAGACAGCCCTTTGACCAGGTAACTAGAAGAAATTCATATGCATACCCATTCCAAAGAAGTGATATCCAGCAGGATGTGGAAAACAGAGAACAATATAATTAATATATTCAAATAAATATTTATCTAATATTACAAAAATTTGCAGGTACACTATTAGAAATTCAAATCATATTCAGAAGATTATGTAGAGGTTGGGTTATCATTGCAGAAATCAAAGCACTTTGAAAGCAAAGTGAATCAGACTTTTATTTACATGTGTTTTATTGATTATGCAGAATAAATTTACTGGAATATAACAAATTATGAATAACATTGCAAAGAATGGAAATTCTAGAACAGGAAGTTGTCCTTATCTGGTACGTGAACTTAGATCAAGAGGCAGTTAGTTAGTAGTCATTCAAATAAAACAATGGGGTACAGTGTAGTTGAACTTCAAGAAACTGTGTATCAGGGTTTCATTCTTTTACCACTATACTTATCTAATCTTTATGCTGAGAAAATAATCCTAGAACTTGTACTATATGAAGAAGAATACAGTAC